CATGGACCTAGGCACCACTTATCAAGCCATGCTGTTGCAAGTGTCCCACATATAAAGTAGAGGAAGATGGGCATGGATGTTAGCCCAGGGCCAATCTTTCTCAGCAAAAAGAGGAGGATTGGCAACAGATGTCAGCTCAGGGCTAATCTTCCTCACACACACACACACAAAACTGCATAAAATGTGTGGAGGAGAGTAAAAGTGTAGGGCTTTTAGTAAGAGAGCAAACTTAAGAGACTATCAATACAGATTGGTATTTACACAGGTTATTATATACCAACCTTATGGAAATCACAAACAAGAAATCTATAATAAACACAAAAAATAAAGAGAAAGGAACCCAAACACAATAGTAAAGAAAGCCATCAAATCACAAAGGAAGAGAGCAAGAGAAGAGGAAAGGAACAGAGAAGAACTACAAAAATACCCAGAAAAAAGTAACAAAATGTCAATAGGTACATACTTATTGATAGCTACTTTAAAGGTAAATGAACTAAATGCTCCAATCAAAAGACATAGAGTGGCTGAATGGATTAAAAAACAATATCCATAATTAAATACAGAAATAAATTTGGAAAATCCTCAAATATTTGGAAGGTAAACACCACCATTCTAAATAATACACCAATCGAGGAAATGACAAGGAAAATTTTGAATGGAATGAAAATGAAAATACAACATATCAAAATTTATGGCATGTGGCTAAAGGAATTTTAGAGGGTGAATGAAGGTTAAGAGGGTGTTTAGAGTTTGCTAAGGTACATGAGGGAACATCTAGAGCTGATGGAAATGTTCTAAAGCTGGATTGTAGTTATGGTTGCACAGCCCTAGAAATACTAAATTGTACAGTTAGAATGGATGAATTTCATGTGTGTAAATTATACCAAATAAAATTGTTTACTGAGGAAAAAAAAAGAAAAACAAGTTCCGTATATATGCTGCATACAAGAGACTTCAGACCTAAAGACATTCACAAGCTGAAATTGAAGGTATGGAAAAAGATAGTCCATGCAAATGGAAACAAAATAGAGACAAAATATATAATATATCAGACAAAATAGGCTTCAAAACAAAAACTAACCAGAGACAAAGAAGGGCATTACATAATGATAAAGGGAACAATCCAACAAGAGGACATAAAACTCGTAAACATCTACGCACCCAACATAGGAGCACTAAATATATAAAGCAATTATTGACAGACATAAAAGAAGAAACTGACTACTGTTACTACACAATAACAGTAGGGGACTTGAACGCTTCACTTACATCAAGAGATAGAGCTTCCAAACAGAAGATCAGAAAGGAAACATTGGCCTTAAATGCCCTATATGAGAAACCCACAGGGGCCGGCCCTGTGGCTTGGTGGTTGAGTGCATGCGCTCCACTGCTGGCGGCCTGGGTTCGGATCCTGGCACACACTGACACACCGCTTGTCCGGCAATGCTGAGGCGGTGTCCCACATACAGCAACTAGAGGGATGTGCAACTGCTACATACAACTATCTACTGGGGCTTTGTGGAGAACAGGAAAAAAAAGGAGGAGTGGCAATGGATGTTAGCACAGGGCCGGTCCTCCTCAGAAAAAAAAAATTGAAACCCACAGCCAACATCATACTCAGCGGTGAAAAACTGAAAGCTATTCCTCTAAGCACAGGAGCAAGACAAGGATTCACTTTCACCACTCTTATTCAACACAGTATTGGAAGTCCTAGCCAGAGCAATCAGACGAGAAAAAGAGATAAAAGGGATCCAAATTGGAAAGGAAGAAGTAAAACTGTCACCATTGCAGATGACATGATTTTATATGTAGAAAACCCTAAAGAATCCACCAAAACACTGTTAGAAATAAAAACCAAATACCGTAAAGTTGCAGGGTACAAAATCAACATACAAAAATCAGTTGCATTTCTATACACTAACAATGAAA